CCGTCACTGTTCAAGAAGCACTTACAGGCTCTCAACACAATCCCAGCGTCCATTAACTCAGTGGTAGAGCGTTGTAGCGGATTTCAGACTATTGGATTCCATATTCTGTCGTATTCAATGTAGCCCTAGTTTGAACTGTCCAAATGGAGAGACCGAGATCCAGTTTCCAGAATTCGGGCAACAGCGTTCGCAGCTAGGGTGGAATCTAAGCTGCATCCCACGGGAGCCACAGTGCTACAGCTGGTGTGATATGATATTTGTCTGCAATACTTCTAATCATTGATAAAGAAACTACCATGCTACCGTCAGCGCAGAATCTCACGACCCACTGGGCAAACCAAAGGGGCTATTAGATATCTTATTCGACCTACGCACTTTGACAATACCCTTAAACAACGATGGTGGCCAGGAACATCCAGGCACCGCTCTTCTACAGTGAAGTACAGCATCTCCCAGTAGAGAGACAAGACGCAAACCAATGATGCAATCTAACCAACAGGAAACGGAGACAGATGAAACACGCTTTTGTTTACTATTCAAAGCACTACACGAAGAAATCAGAACCTTATCTTTATGGAGGAGATATCTGTATTCAGGGAACCGATAGACATGAAAGACGTGCCAGCTCTTGCCTGTGCATGTCACCCAGGGAACAAGAAGGAAGAATCAAGAATACTAGAGATATAAATAGGTTTGGGGTAGAAAAGAGCATCTATAATACAGGGAGATAATCTCATAAAAGCTTCATGTGGAGATCAATCACAATGCCCTAATGGAGAGGTGTTCAGAGGAAGCCACAGTGTTCAGAGCCACAGTCTGATGCCGAGTCAGCAAAAACCCATGGAGACTATGTTGTAAAGGTGTCTAAGCGTCCTATAGGAGCCACATAAATATGTTAGAGCCACCAGAACAGAAGAAAGGAAAAATGAAGAGGTAGTATCACACTTCTCAAGTGTTTGCGTGGGCGGAATATTACACCAGATCGCATATGATGGTCAATAATAAAGATCGAAGCATCGCTTTTCGGTACCATGAATCAGTGATTTGCTTCTTGGAATACGATGGTAGCATCGGTTTCATGTTCTACTAGCTGCTGAGAGCACATCCCGTGCTGAGAATACGAGCCCTCCTTTTCCCGCCGCACAGGGAGAGATCCCAAGGGATAACGCTCAGCCGGGTTATAAACGAGGCCGTTCATTAGGTAGCTTGCTCACTTTGGAGTGACTGATGTTTCACGAATGCAAAACAGAAGTTGCGCACTTCTTTGGTGTCGACTGTAGGCAACCAGTCAACTACCGTATCAAGGTCCCTTGAGGGTGATCTATAGAACCGAACTGAATCTTATGGTATCTTGTAGTGGGGCATAAAAATAATAGATAGCTGCCACTTGGGCAAGAGCAGATAGGTCGCGCGACTGATTCTGGCATGGACTTGGAAGAAAAATCGTCCATGCCAGGGTCGAACTGGCGGCCGTTGCATGGCTAAGGAAAATTAAGGTTTCTCATAAGTACAACGCTCTACCACTGAGCTAATGGACGCTGGGATTGTGTTGAGAGCCTGTAAGTGCTTCTTGAACAGTGACGGACCCAACGACGCACAAACAGCAGAATCAACACCCTATCACAACATCTCGATGTTACTGTGATCATTAGACCAACAGCAGACATAGCGATGTTATCCTCCCATCGCCTGTGGTCCTGCCTGGCCCAGAGGACATGTGGTCTCGAGAGTGAATTATGAACCTGTGAGTGTGACTTTCAAGTTTCACTTCCCATCATATCACACACATCAACACTCGACCTTCCCAAAAACACACAAATTGGTGATTATGTGATTGATAATTGAGGATACAGTGCTTCGCCTGGATTTTTTGTGTAATAATGTTTATAATTAGATGCGGCGTGAATATTCCGGTGTGCAATTGCAATGAACTTTTATACAGCCCCAAGAATCCGCAAAACGCTCCGTGGGCCAATTTCTTTCGGAGGGCACGGAAAGATCAACGGTTTGGGTGATTGTGTCAATGGAGCATCGATTTGTGGGATGAATGTTGAAGGGGAAAGTGCAATGTTTGTCTGTGTTTTGCCACGTGCCGTGAACTCAGCCAGCCAGGCTGGGATGGTTCACGGCGGGACAATTACATGCAGTCACTGATATGGGTAGTAGCTGAATAAAAGACTTTTCATCTCAGAAACTGACGTCGTTGAATATTCCACCTTTGACGACTTGGGCTCTCAAGTAGAAGGTTGGCAAACGGAGGTATTCGAGAGGCATACTTTTCACACATTCAGAAAAGGGAATCATATAGGAGGCGAGGAAGAAAGAACAATATGATGTAAGACGAGTGGGAGGGAGGACAGATATAAAGGCCGGGATCTCGAATAATGCGAGTGAGAGACGCGAAAGAAGAGAGCTCGAGACTATGAGAGTGAATGATGAGTGGAGCAAGAACTATACGCTACATGAGGAGAGTTGTACTGCAAGTGCACACGAGAGGAGCTCAGACCATGAGTGAAGTAGAAACGGAACACGAGGAAAGAGAGATGGGAATGGCTGCAGGCAGAGGCAGAAACTCAAGCATAATCAAAGGCAGAACACGAACCCAAAGAGAATCACCGCTGAAGGAACTGCTTCGGCAGACGACAATTAGAAAAGAAGGCAGAACAACAGAAGCATTCGGTTTGGGGTGCAGCGTAAGCGAGGGTTCAGGAAACAGAGAGGACGATTGAGATAGAGGAACAGCTAGTGGAAGGGGACGTAAAAGGGAGAAACTGAATGGAAAAATGGAGTGGGAGAGTCAGTGTCACAGGCGCGCGTGTTTCGAAAAGTAAAGAAAACGACATGGAATGACGAGTGATGAGGGACGAGTAAAAAATGGGAGGACATGGAAGAGGATCAATAGAATGGATCAGACCAAAAGAATAAGACGTTGCATGTAGTGTAAATCGGTGCAAGAAATGCTCGAGATACACACCGACAAAAACTTCAGAAGTTCTGCAAACCGTGGAGAGGAAGAGACAATAGTTCAGATCGAGGACACAAGAACAGAGCACGGCGCAAAAAGAGCAACTTCAAAAGAAGAAATCATCCGCTGCTTAGGAGCCAGGCTGTTGCTGGCCGTCAGCGGCGGGCTGCTGCCCGTAGTAACCTGGGGATTCGAACACGGTTCAATCAATGTTCCGGACAGCTTGCAGGGCCATCAAGGGATCGACTCACCTCCCCAGAACTGCTGCGGCTGCTGAGCGGCTTGGGCATACGCGGCAGCATAAGCATTCTGCTGATCCTGGCTCCATTGTTGCTGTCCTTGCTGGGCTTGACCTGCCGCCGCATCGGCACCAGCAGCGGGCTGAGTGGCGCCGGGGGCACCAGCCACAGCACCAGGCTGTTGACCAGCGGGAGATTGGCCAAACCCAGGGTAACCGTAACCGAATTGTGCGAACTGGTTAGGCTGGGGCATCCCGTACATTGGCTAGCATGGACGGAAAGAATAATGTTAGTACATCACGACTTATCTAAACACGGTCAATCGCTGAGCGAAAAATCCGCACCATGTTGCCGTACGGAGAAACCGCTGCCTGACCGGGAATAGCACCACCAGGTTGCGCGCCACCGCCATCAGCACGATCCTTGCCCCATGAGCACTTGATTGGGCGCCCATGAACGAGTTGGCCTTGGAGCTGGACGATAGCCATGGCCGCATTCTCATGCGTATCAAGCTTGACAAAGGCGAAACCACGGTCAGACTGCATGCGGATCTCGGAGAGGTAGCCGATCGACTGGAAGAGAGGGATCAAGTCGGCCTGGGTGCAGTACGGCACCAGATTACCAACATAGACGGTAGTGTTGAACGAAGGCGTCTGGGTTACAACAGTCTCGTACGAGAGAGGACCGCCCATAAAGTTGACCGGGGCAGGCGCACCGCCGGCTCCGCCCATACCTCCACCTGGACGAGCCCCGTTGTTGCTGCCGAAACCGCCAGCACCACCGGGGGTGCCAGGCATGCCAGGCAAAGCGCCTTGCGTTTTCTGGTTGGCCCAGTTGACACGGATGGCACGAGAGCCAAGCCACTCCCCGTTCATGGTGGCGATGGCTTGCTCGGCGTCGGTCTTGTCACGGAAAGCTAGGAAACCATAACCGCGCGATTTGCCTGAATTCATATCCCACATGACTCGTGCATCAGAGAGGGTGCCGAACGCAGCAAAGGCCTTGCTGAGGACATCGTCGTTGACTTCGGGGCTGAGGTCACCGACGAAGACGTGGTAGTGTCCCGTGGTGTCCTCCTTGTTCTGCTGGCCCTGGTATGCCCAGTTGACACGAATCTCAGTATCAAAGATCTTGCGGCCATTGAGAGTCTGCAAGGCGGTCTCCGCTGCACGCATGTCCATGTACTCGACGAAACCGTAGTTGAGACCGCCATGCTGGTAGTTGCGGTCAGGGATGATCTTGACGTGCTGGACGGCACCAGCGACGGCAAAGATCTCGGTCAACATGTACTCCGTGACCCGCGGGGACAGGTTACCGACGTAAAGGTGAGCACGACGCTAAACGATGAAAAATGTTACACGTCAGAATTTTTCCAAGGGGATCACGATATATGCTTACAGGGGCCTCGGCTGCAGGACTGGCGCTCATGATCGCGGCGTTTTAGTGTAACGAAGAAGGAGGAAAGAGATAGACGAAGGGGGGGAACAGATGAGGGCAGCTGAGAGCAGGGGGTGGTGCAAGTTAGGTAATGACGGGGGGCCGAAAAACAGTCCGCTCACGTGGAAGAAGAATCGAAAAACTTGGAGACGAGAGAGGAGAGAGGAGACAAAGAGAAGAGAAACGAGAAACGAGACAGAAAACTGAGGACAGAAGTTGTGGTCACAGCTCGATGGAGATCGATTCTTGATTCAAGCAAAGGGGGTCACGTGCACCGCGTCGCCTCCTCAAACGGATCCGCAAAGGAGGCCACATAAACGTATGTCTCGAGGTCTCAGGTTTGGCTTGCTGGCTCATGCGAAAAGTTGTCCAAGTGCTAAATGCGTGCTCCATGTTCTTCTTCAGTGCCTCTAGGAGCGAACTACCACCGGGTAACTGCAGCTCAGTATTGAAACGCATTGTGGAAGGCTCGTTCTTTTGCTTCTTCAACTAGGAGCTAGAACTATATCTCGCTTTGCTGCGTTTAGACCCTTCCTTCCACCTTTGGTCCAAACTCGTCTCTTAGTGCACGCTCCAACTTGCTCGCGTGACACTTTGGCCGTGCCGTTACCTCCCTAGAAGCACCATGTTCTCAAATAATAAGAATCGGAAACTAAAGGCCCCAACCGAAGCCAAAGACCTCTTTAGTGCGTTCGCTTCGAGCTCTAAAGTCTCTGTGAAGACAGTCGTCAAACCACGGCCGGCGCCTCCTGCCCCTACCCCGATCATAACCACCACACATGCTCCGAGAACTTCCTCTCCCCTATCTGTACCTTCGAAAAGTATCCCCAGGCCTCCGTCATCGGCCTCATCATCACGACCGTCTACACCCACACCCCAGTCTCCTGCAAAGCGCAAGCGTGCACCTCCAGAGGATCGTGACGAGCTTGATACTGTAAAGAAGCCTCGGCGTTCAGTTCCTCGGGATTCTGTCGATCGAGCTTCATCGAGCTCACCTGCCCCAAGTCGTGGGCCCCGCAGTTCTACTCCTCGATCTGTGGTTGTCCCTTTCGGGAGTGTGGACAAGGCCATTCCGCGACCTCTGGTTGTTAGTCAGCAAGACGGGAATGTCGTCCATGTCAGCTCGGAGGATGTCATCACTCGAATGATGGCCGATGTTTCTTCTGGAAAGAAGAACAAGACGAGCTATGTTGCTTGTAAGTTTCTTCTCCACTGTTTGGCTATCGCTTAAATCACTAAGACCTCTCGATCATTAGTTTTCAAGAACCCTTCTGATCCAGAAGACAAGTCTTTTGAGCCTCTTCCTACGCCGCCGGTTGTTGAGCTAGAGTATCCTAATATTGGTGCATCTGAGAGGTTAGTTGCTGGCCAATTTTTTCTTCTTCCATGTCACACCCCCTCACGCTCTCATCAAAGGTACACACTCCTATACCCAACCGACAAAGAAGACTACCAGCCTATCCGAGAGCTCATCCGTACCATTGGTATAATCTCGGAATTCTATCTGACCCCAGCCCAGCGTCAACCACTGGGTCAACTGTCCTCCAGCCATTCACTGGCCTTTATGTCTTCCGCGCCCGCTGCTCCCTCTCTTCATGCTTCCCCTTCGCCCTCTCGACCCATGTCCCCAGCCTTCATCAATAACTCGATCCCCAGCCCTACCCCTGAGCCCCATAGTGACCCACTTCTTCGCACGCTGGAGAAGGCGCATAATACCAGAAATGGGCCCCTTTTCGTCAAAACTGTGGAGGCCATCTCGGAATACTTTCGAAGTATGAAGCTAGAAATGCGTTCCAATGCTGAGGCATGGTACAACGCACCTAGTCCGTCCCCAGCCTCCACACCAAATGGGAAAGGCAAGGGAAAGGATAGGTCGGATGATGAGAGGGCTCCATCT